CTTTGGGGATGCAGCCCTCGAGAAGCTACCCACTCTCCAGTGGACGATCGTATACATACTCACATACTGGCAACACTAAGTGAACTCAGTATTTCTTTTTTCCAATGTTTAGGGGTGTTTCACCTGCATGTGTATCTTTGTACCACTTGAGTGCTAGGTGCCCACAGAGGTCAAAAACATCAGATGCCATAGAACTGGAAGATGGTTGTGAACTGGTATGTGGGTGCTGGGAATCAAACCCAGACCCTCCAGGAGAGCAGTCAGTGCTCTTAACTGCTGAGCCATCTCTCCAGCCCCGACTCAATGGTTTTGAAAGAGAGTTCACACATTACATGAAATCTAGAGGGAACAGTGTGGGGGCAGGGGAGGTGGTAGAGAAGGAATTGGAGGGAGGTATGGGAGATGGACTTGATCAAAATATATGTGTATTTGAAACTCTCAAAAAATATAAAAATACAAAAAAAATGACAATAAAAGGTTGGGTATCATTTTTAAAATTCTGCACATACTCTGCTGGGTAGTGTCACTTTAATCCCTATAGAAGCACAGGCAGATGGGTCTCTGTGGGTTCCAGGCAAGCCAGAGATACAAAATGAGACCCCCACATCAGAAAAAATAAGAAAGAAAATATGCCATTACAATCATCAGTGACATCGATGGAGAAGGATGTGTGTGCCACAGCACATATGTTGAGATTAGAGGCAATTTGAGGGAACCAATTTTTTTCCTTCTACCATGTAGGTCCTGGGCATCAAACTTGGTGGTAAGTACCTTACATGCTGAGCCATCTCACTGGCCATAAAACAGATTTCTTCATGATTAATTGTCAGTAAATGTTTATTCTATTTTATGTACCTATTGTAGTGGTTTGAGTAGGAAATGTCCCCCAGCCCGGCGGTGGTGGTGGCAACACCTTTAATCCCAGCGCTTGGGAGGCAGAGGCAGGCAGATCTCCATGAGTTTGAGGCCAGCCTGGTCTACAGAGTGAGTTCCATGACAGCCAGGGCTGTTACACAGAGAAACCCTGTCTCAGAAAAAAGAAAAAGAAATGTCTCCCAAAGGCTCGTGTATTTGGACACTTGTTTCCCAGTTGGTGGCGCTGTTTGGGGAGGTTATGGGACCTTTGGGGGTGCAGCCTTCCTGGAGGAAGTACATCACTGGGAGCTGGCTTTGAGAGTTTATAACTTGATTGCATTTCCTACATTTGCTCTCCTCCTTCCTTCTCATCTCCCCTTTTCCCCCACCCCGCCCCGCCCCTGCAAATGAACTTGTGATCAGCCAGCTTCTTGCTCCTGCTCCTCCATGTCTTCCACTACCATATGGACTCTAACCCCCTGGAACCATAACCCAAAATAAACCTTTCTTCCTTAAGCTGCTTTTGGCTATGGCATTTTGTCACAGCAACAGAAAAGTAATTAATGTATCTACATATCCCCAGTTGCCTAAAAGTTTCTTGGGCAAAAAGGGGTCCCAAATAGAAAAAGTTTACGAAGCTTTGATTTAAATAGAATATGATGCCTAGAGCCATAATGCCTGGATCAAAAACCATAGTGCTGGGTTCAAATCCCAGCCTCTCACAAAGTACCTGGCTTTGCTTTGGGCAGATTACTTGATTTCTATTTGTCTTTTTTTTCCCCCTTCATGTGCAAAATAAAATTCCTATCTCAAAGGGCTGTTGAGTGAGCAACTACAAGCAAAGATATTTAAAAGAGGGCCTCCCTGGGACGGTTGCTGGTTGTTACTATGGGGTAATCAATAAAAATTTGAAGCTCATTCCAAACCGCACACTTCCTTCTGATAAAGGCCCAATCTTATCTTCACTCCCCTCCCAGGAGTCTGATGGTAGGGACCCAATGTCACCTCTGTTGGAATGAATAGATGGGGGTGGGGGATAAGCCTTGGTGTTCCCCTGCTTACAATTTTTGTGGATCAGAGTCCCCACACCAGCCGCCAGCTTTTCTAGCTGGGCACCCAAGCTCCTGTGGTCTTGAAAACCTACCCCACAGCGTAACTTTCTCTTTCCTTATTACTGCCCTCCGCTCCACCCACGTTGACCACATTCCCTACCCGGAGCTTTCCATCCTCCACTTGCTTTTTCTTCAACCTCTTTGCAAAATCCAAGCCAGATACCCTCCTCTCGTAGGGCTTTCCCCTCACTAGCTCTTCTTCCAGCTCAGGGTCCTGGTTTCACCTGTGTGGAACGTCTGTCAGAGCCAATCAGAATGAATCTCCTTAGTACAGAGATTTCAGAACACCTTTACTGCCCTGCGGGAAAATCCAAGGATGACTTCATCTACATACCCATATATTTTGAAAGAAAAACCAATACAATTGTCCTAATCACAGGAGAAAATACTAAACTGAAAATTAAATGAGGCCTGACAACAGGGCTCAGTGGGTAATGGAGCTCGCTGTCAAGCGGGAACCAGAGCGGACACTAGGTGGCAGCACCGAGCCCTAGAGTCGGCGTTTTGTGGCTGTGTTTGGGCTTTGTTTGTTGTGCCTTTTTCTGTGGAACCGTTCTTGGAATGTCCATTTATTTCCTGATGAGTGCTTTACTCTCTGACCTCTTCCAGGGGTCATGAGTTCAATTCCCAGCAACCACATGGTGGGTCACAACTATCTTACAATGTGTTCTGGTACCCTCTTCTGGCCTGCATTGCAGGCATACATGTAGGCAGAACACTGTAGACATAATTTTTTTTTTTTTTTTTTTTTTTTTTGGCTTTTTGGAGACGGGGTTTCTCTGTGTAACAGTCCTGGCTGTTCTGGATCTCACTTTGTAGACCAGGCTGGCCTAAACTCATCGCCTGTCTCTGCCTCCCAAGTGCTGGGATTAAAGGCGTGCGCCAAACCGGGCGATGATGGCACACGCCTTTAATCCCAGCACTCGGGAGGCGGATCTCTGTGAATTCCAGGCCAGTCTGGGCTACAGAGTGAGTTCCAGGACAGGCTCCAAAGCTACACTGAGAAACCCTGTCTCGAAAAACAAAAACAAAACAAAACAAACAAACAAAAAAAAAAAGGCGTGCCGCCCAACCTATGTACTGTTCTTGACTTCAGCTGGACACAGAGAACTCTGACGTGTTTGTCTTCTTCCACGTGACTATTCTTAGCCTCATGCTCTCCTCTGCCCCCAACACCCACGCCCCAAATACTGGGATGACAGGGCATGTGCCACCATGCCTGGCTCATGGTACTAGATATCAAACCCAGGGCTTCATGCCTGCTAGACAAGTACTCTATCAAATGTGGCACATCCCTGACCTCATTTTTTTTTTAAAGATATTTACTGGGAATGATGACTCAGGAGGTAGAAGCAGACAGATCTGTCAGTTCAACTTCAGCTTGGCTGGCATAGTTTATTCTAAGCCAGAACTACACAGCAAGGCCCTATCTCAGAAGTATAATTTTTAATTATGCATATGCCTGTGTCTTTGTGGGAGTATGTGCATGAGTGCAGGTGCCCTTGGAAATCAGAGGCATCAGGACCCCCATGGAGTTGAAGTCACAGGTGGTTGTTAAGCCATACAATGTGGATCAAGCCCTGTACATGCTCAATCTCAGAGCCAGCTCTCCAGCCCTCACCCATCTCTCTCCAGAGCCCCTTCAGGTATTTCTTAGTTGAGTTCTTGCCAACGGAATCTCAGGGAAAAGTCTAACTTATTTCCTACTTATTGGTGCTGGGGAGTGAATACAAGGCCTTGCATACGCTACTCAAAAATCCTACCATGAGCTACAGTCCCTGCCATCATTTTGTTTGGTTTTGCATTTTATGTCTTTTTTTTTTTTCTTTTAATTCCTCTCCATTTTAAAATGTTTTCTTTTTCTTTGGGAGTCTGTTTGCAATGCCGATGGAGATGGCTGCCCAGAAGACTTAAAAGCACAAGGCCCAGGGCTCAACTTGCAGAGCTTACAGAACTCCAGGTTCTCTTAGGAAAAGCTGGGAAGTAAGAGCAACTAAGGAATTTTTATTTGGGGAAACATTTTACTACAAAGATATTCTTAGTGGGCTGGAGATGACTCACCCGTTAAAGAGCACTGGTTGTTCTTCCAGAACACCAAGGTTCAATTCTCAGCACCCACATGTGGCTTACAACCATCTGTAATTCATTTCAAGGGATTCTATGCCCTCTTCTGGTCTCTGCCAGCACCAGGCACACATGGGGTGCACAGATATACATGTAGGCAAAGCACTCATACATAAAGAAAAAATATTCAGTTTTAAAAAAAAAAATGTTCAGTGCTTTCAAGTACCTGTAACTCCAGCTCCAAGGATCCAACACCCTTTTCTGGCCTCTGCCAGCACCAGTGTAACAAATACACTCATTAAAAAAATCCATCTTAAAATACATATGTGTACAAGTGCATGCATGTACACACGTGTGTCTGTGTGTGTGTGTGTGTGTGTGTGTGTGTGTGTGTGTGTGTTTTCATTCTTAGTATGAAACAATGTAAAGAGCCAGGAATATCTCACAAGTTTTAAAAGCAAAAGGAGCCGGGCGGTGGTGGCGCACGCCTTTAATCCCAGCACTTGGGAGGCAGAGCCAGGCGGAGTTCGAGGCCAGCCTGGGCTACAGAATAAGTTCCAGGAAAGGCGCAAAGCTACACAGAGAAAAAACAAAAAACAAACAAAAAAAGAGCAAAAGGAAACAGGGGCAGGTGAGATGGTTCAGTGGTAAAGTTGTTTGCCACCAAGCCTGACAACATGAGCTCTATCCCCAGAGCACACATGCTGGATAGAGAGAACTGACTCCTGAAAGTTGTTCTCTGACCTACACACACACACACACACACACACACACACACACACACACACACACACGTTTAAATTTTTAAAAAGAAAAGAGGTGGCGTACTATCCTGGTTTGCTTTTCTCTTGCGGTGATAAAACATTCTGACCAAAAACAACTTGGGGAGGAAAGGATTGAATTTTGATTACAGGTTGTTATGCCCTGGGCGTGAGACCACCAAAGAGACCACCAGAGCCACGAACTCACCAAGATGCAACAGCAAGGTTTATTGAAGCAGTATAAGCCACGCAGCAGGGACCTTGTCAAGACATCCAACACAGTAGAGGCTGGAGGAGGTGCCCGCCCCTCTGCAAGCTCAGTTTTTAAAGGCAAAAACCACAAGGTTACATCATTTAGGGGTGCTAGTACGGGTACAATTCTGATTGGCTCAAGTTTTAGGGGCTTTTCAGAATTTCTGTGTTATCTTACTTTCTAGTTTTAACTTGTTGTTTGTCAAACTTTATAGACTACCTCTGGCATTGGGGCATTCTGTGGTTAATCAATTGTTACCAGATAGTCCTTCAAACATCCTGACTTTGTACTTTTGACCATCTCCGGCATTGGGGTATTCTATGGTTAATCAGTTGCTACCAGATGGCTCTTCAACATCCTGACTTTGTCCTGAGACCTATGTCAGCAGCTCTGAGAATTTTGAAACTCAGGCCTGTTTCAAGCTGGGGTGAGGGGCTTGCTTGAAATGAGGGTGTTTTGGTTCTTCAAGGTCATAGTCCATCATCAAGGGAAGTCAAGACAGGAACTCAAGCAGGAACCTGGAGTTGGGGCGGAATGCCTACTAGACTGCTTCCCTTGACTTGCTAAGCTATCTTCCTGACACAGCCCAAGCCCACCTGGCTACAGATGGCACCGCCCACAGTGGGCTACGCCCTCCTACATCAATAGGCAATTAGGAAAATGCTTCACAGACATGGCAACAGGTCAGCCTGAGAGAGGCAGTTTCTCAGTTGCTGGTTTACCCTCCTCCCAGCTGGTTCTAGGTTTGTGTCAAGTTGACAGCTGAAGCTAACTATGACGGTCACCCTGGAGCCACGGCAGTTCTTCCACCAGTCATCTCATGTAGTCTCTTGTTTAGCAGAGCCTCTGCTGTCCCTGCCCAGCAATAACAAACAGAAACTTGAAAAACAAGAACGAAAGATGCTCGGGGACAGAGTTCCTGGCTAGAATATCCGATGGAAGAGCAGCCTGGGCCACACCAGTGACGCTCAACACTCCCTAGTTGAAGTTAACCATGAACTGTAGCAATGGCAATGGTCCAGACAATAGGAGACTGGGGGAGGGGGAGCTGGAGCGCCTCCTTTTGGAAACCTCCACAATGGGGACACGGAGAAGATTCTTCTAGGTGCACATGATGAATCAGAGCAGAGCAGCTGGAGAGGTGGTTCTGTTGTGTCCCTTAAGCACCAGAAGATGGGCAGCTCATGCCTGCCATGGAGATGCACACCAGTAGGCACCACAGCTCTCAGTCAGTTCAAGAGACCTGAAAACATTCCACTCAAGTTCTACTTGAGACACCCTGAGCATGCTGTGTCTCTAAACATGAGGAAAAATGAAGCCAGAAAGGGAGTGTTTTCTTTGCAGTTCCGGAAAGTGTTTATCTCCCCACTAACCTTCTCTCTCTCTCTCTCTCTAATTTTGGCTTTGGGGCTACACACCTATAGAGGAGACACTGAGCACACCCTCTGCCAGCACCCACCCAGGAAAGGAAAAGCCCCTGAGAATATGGGTGGCCTGTGGAGCGGCACATTGTCACAGTAGCTTATTTCAACTTGAAACCGCTGTAAGCATAACCCTAATTTTCCATGGCCAATTCCAGTAACTCTCGAATCCAGTATTTTCTTCAAATGCCATGGAAGTGGTTAACTAACCTTGTCCCTTTTTGGTCTACAAGACACTTCAGAATGTTTAACAATTTACCGCTGTTTGGGGTTTCTTATCTGCAAACTGACAGCAGATTACAAATTTGTCAACAACACTATTGTCTCCTGTTAGTCCCTAGAATCAGGCCTGGATCAGTATGTTAAATGGGGGAAAGGGAGAAGAAAAACATTATAAAACAGGAGCAGGAACATTTGTAACCCCAGCTCTTGGGACAAAGAGGCAGGTAGATCAAGAGTTCAAGGTCATCCTTGAGTACAGAGTTTAAGACCAAAAATATTGTCCCAACAAAAGTGTAATTTTGTTGTTGTTGTTGTTATTTTGAGACATGGTCTCTTGGTGTGGTCCTAGTGGTCCACGAACTCCATAGATAGACCAGGGGGGCCTTGAACTCAAACAATCTGCCTACCTCAGCCTCCTGAGTGCTGAGATTAAAGACATGTACCATCACACTCAGGGTGAATTTTTGTTTGTTTGGTTGGTTTTTTGTTTTTGTTTTGTTTTGTTTTTTGAGACAGGATTTGAGTAGCCTTGGCTGTCCGGGAACTTGCTCTGTAGACCAGGCTGGTCTTGAGCTCTGAGATCCACCTGCCTCTGCCTCCTGAGTGCTGGGATTAAAGGTGTATGCCACCATTGCCCGGCTTTTTCATTTTTTCTTTTACATTGGTGTTTTGCCTGCATGTATGTCTGTGTAAGGGTGTCACATCTTAGAGTTACAGACAATTGTTACCTGCCATGTGGTTGCTGGGAACTGAACCGGGTCCTCTGGAAGAACAGTCAGTGCTCTTCTTATAAGTCTCTAGCCCCTTATGTGTATGTTTCTGTATCTGTATGAATGTATATCATGTTATTATGTGTGTGCAGGTAGCCTTGGAGCTATAGTACTAAGAACTGGGGTCTTCTGTAAGAGCAGTGTGTGGGTCCTTGGAAGTCCAGCTCCGACCTTTCCCTCCTTTTCTAGGGTTCTTAGGAGGAGGACAGAGGGGGATAAGAAAATATTAGAAAGAGAGACCTAGCCAACGAGAAGAAAGACAGAAACACAGGATAGCTTCGGAAAGACCTAGACCAATACCCAACAGCCTTCAGGCTTTATTCAAAAGGCTTTCTATAACATGCCAGGGGGAGAGGCAAAAGACTTCCCCCTTACAAGATCAAAGCACACCATACAGCCAAGGGTAGACCCTTCCAAACACCTGGTAAACACGCCCGTGGTCAAATCATCTCATTATGGAGCCCTGCTGAGTAAAGCAAGCTGAGATTCTCTGACCCTGAGTAGTTTGGGCCTCCACAGAGCAGCAAGTGCTCTTAACCACTGAGCCATCTCTTCAGCCCTAGGTAGGTGTCTGGTGTGTGTTTTATTTCTTACTCAGGCTCCTTGATCTCAGCATGTATCAGGAGTAAACCTTGACATCCCAGTTCTGCTGCTTCCACCTCCCAAGTGTCACTTGTGCTGGGAATGCTTGCTGTCTGTTCAGCACCAAGTCAGGTATGTATAAAATGGTGTGCAAAACCCCCTTCCTCTCTGCAACTTAACAGTTTAGCTCAAGCCCAGAAATGGAGAAAAGGGACTTCAGAGTGTGTTGAAGGCTCCACTAGAGTAGCTGCTGTTGTGGGATATTTGCACACTGTGTGAAGATCTATTGCTGTAATTGGTTTAATGAAGAGCTGAACGGTCAATAGCTAGGCAGGAGGTATAGGCAGTAGTTCCAGGCAGAGAGAAGAAGTGGGAGGAAATAACTGAAGCACAGGGGAGATCCAGGAGAGGCAGAGCAAGCAGGATGTACAGGAGGAGAGGTAACAGCCACAAGCCATGTAGCAAATGTAGATTAATATAAATGGGCCAATTTAAGTTATAACAAGCCTAAGCTATAAGGCGAGCTTTCATAAAATAAGAAATCTCTGTGTCATTACTGGGATCTGACTGGACAGCATTTTACACAAGCTGCTTGCTATTCCTAACTTCAAACATCCCACATTGGACATTGAGCCTAGGGCCTTGAATATGCTAAGCAAGTGACCTACAATTGAACTATGTTCCAGCCCTCCTTTTGTGTGTTCAGTCAGGGTCTCTTAGTGGTGGAGGCTGGCCTTGAACTCACATCATAGTCCAGTCAGACCTTGAACTTGCAATCTTCCCACTTTAGCTTCCCAAGCAGCTGAAAAGACAAGCCTGCACCATCAGGACAATTTTATACTGTATCTTAAACAACATTTTATTGAATAAAAGAGAAAATGTTAGTTCCTTAAAAGCATAAGGGAGGGAACATTAAAAGTTTCCAGGAACTTTACTTATGCTGTACGTATTTAAGTCTATACTGGTATATCTTAGTACAATGTACTTCTCACCAAGGCACAAATCAAGGAGGGAGAAAACGACTGAAAACCTGGATAAAGCTGGATGAAGGGTCACCATAGGCCTTTTACTTGGTACTCCTGAAAGAGACTGATCATGTTTTACCTATCTTTTAAATTTATTTTTTGCTGTGGGATGTTCTGTATGGCAAATGTGTTGCTGATTAGTCAATAAATAAAACACTGGCCATTGGCTAGGCAGGAAGTATAGGCGGGACAAGGAGGAGAATAAAGCTGGGAAGTGGAAGGCTGAGTCAGAGAGACACTGCCAGCCGCCACGATGAGAAACAGCATGTGAAGATGCCGGTAAGCCATGAGCCATGTGTCAAGGTATAGATTTATAGAAATGGATTAATTTAAGCTGTAAGAACAGTTAGCAAGAAGCCTGCCACGGCCATACAGTTTGTAAGCAATATAAGTCTTTGTGTTTACTTGGTCGGGTTTGAGTGGCTGTGGGACTGGCAGGTGAGAGAGATTTGTCCTGACTGTAGGCCAGGCAGGAAAACTCCAGCTACAATTGTTAATTATGTTTATGTGTGCCCATGTCTGTGTGTGGGTATGTGCATATGAGTTCAGGTGCCTGAGGGTGTCAAAGGCCCTGGAACTGGAGTTACAGCCGGTCATGAGTTGCTTGACATGGGAGCTGGGAACTGACCTCCCATTTGCCGGAAAAGCATTAAGTTCGCTCACCAGTTGAACCATCTTTCTAGCCCATATTTGTTTTTGTTGTTGCTGTTGCTGCTGTTTTTTTGCTTGTTTTGAGACAGGGTTTCATTTTATTTTTAATGGGGGGGGGCAGGTAGTGTGCACATAAGGCAGGTGACCAAGGAGGCCAGAAGTGGGTAAATATTTCTCCTATAATTGGACAAAAATCTCAGAGGCTGAATCAGAGAACATGAACGAGGAGAAAAATCTATTGGTATAATAGCCACAAAACCATTCTAATTCTGGTGATGCTTCATGTTTTGTGTGTGTGTGTGTGTGTGTGTGTGTGTGTGTGTGTGTGTGTATGTGTGTGCATGCTATGCATGTGCCGGTGTCTTTGGAGGCAAAAGAGGGCATCTTGATCCCTAAAGCTAGAGTTACATGTGGTTTTGAGTCACCCAATACGGGTGCAGGGAACACAACCCAGGCCGTCTAGAAGAGCAACAAGTACTCCCAGACACAATTAATACTGGGGTTTTTGTTGTTCTGGTTTTGTTTTTAGACAGATCTCATGTATCTCAGGCTGGCCTTGAACTCAATATATACAAAAAAAAAAAAAAAATGATCTTAAATGTTTGATCTTCCTGCCTCCACCTCCCAAGCTTTGAGACTACAAGCATGTGCCACCACACCCAGTTTTATGGGATGCAAGGGACTGAAGCTGGGGCTTTATCCATGTTAGGCGAGTACTCTACCAAGTGAACTACAAGGAGATCAACTTTGAATTTTTCAGTAGCACTGAAGGAAACAGAATTGAAAAATTCTTTTTGTTTTTCTTTCAAAACAGGGTTTCTCTGTGTAGTTTTGGTGCCTGTCCTGGATCTCGCGCTGTAGACCAAGCTGGCCTCGAACTCACAGAGATCCGCCTGTCTCTGCCTCCCGAGTGCTGGGATTAAAGGTATTCACCACCACTGCCCAGCCAAAATTGGAATTTTTTACACCTTTAAAATAGCAGTATAGCCGGGCGGTGGTGGCGCACGCCTTTAATCCCAGCACTCGGGAGGCAGAGCCAGGCGGATCTCTGTGAGTTCGAGGCCAGCCTGGGCTACCAAGTGAGTCCCAGAAAAGGCGCAAAGCTACACAGAGAAACCCTGTCTCGAAAAACCAAAAAACAAAAAAAAAAAACAAAAAAAAAAACAAATAAAATAGCAGTATGTATTACTAAAACTTTGTGGGGTGGGGTGGTACAATCATACGTACCAGGCACTCATTTTACTGAATGTCTTCCTTTCCAGGTTCAGCTGTTGACTGCTGCATCACCTGCCAGACTGTTAAAACTTGCTCCTCTCTACTGTGGCTGCACCATGGACCCCATCTTCACACAGATTTCCTACATCTAAAATCCTCAACTCCTAGCCAGGTGGTGGTGGCAGAGCGAGATCTAGGACAGGCACCAAAGCTAAACAGAGAAACCTTGTCTCGGAAAACAAAAACAAACAAACAAACAAACAAACAACAAAAAACAAATCTTCAGCTCCACCTGCATCATCACCTTAGCTCTAAGGCTTCCATTATATTTAAACACACTATGGTTAGAGTTACCCTGCAGCTTCATAGAGCCCGATGACTCTGTAGTTTTCCTTTCCCAACTTATCAGACACTTGCTAGCCTTATATCTTATATGACTGGGCCTGGACATCACAGGCATGAAGACCTGGTCTACACTTCAACTAGACTAAAGTTTCTCAAGCTCAGAATTAATACTTTGAACAAGATAATTCTTTGGGGTTGAGGGGCTGTTCTGTGTGTTGTCAGATACTTAATGTCTCAGGATTCCAGTTAACAGAGATACACTTGCCTCCTCCACCAGTTATGACAGCATCAAATGTCTCCAGACACTGCAAAACGTCACCTGTGGGGACATTCAAAAATCATCCCCATAGAGCTAGAGAGTTGGCTCAGCAGTTAAGAGCCCCGGCTGCTCTTCCAAAAAAACCCAGGTTCTATTCCCAGCACCCACATGGCAGGCAACTCACAACCCTCTGTAACACCATTTCCAGGGGATCCCACACCCTCTTCTAGTCTCTTTGGGCATTGCACACACAGACACAAATATAAGCAAAACATCCATCACATTAAAAAAAAATTGTTTAAATATCCAATTGAGAACCACTGGTGTAAATGCAAGCCCTGTAGACTTAGTAGTGTAGACTAAGGCCCTATAGCCAGAACATGGCCTTGGTGTTCACAGTGTTCAGGGGAAGGCCAGCCTGGTCTAGCCAGAACCTTACTAACAGTATCCATAGCATCTGTGAATTAACAGATAAAATGCTCCACTTCTCCAGCTCTCAGAGTAGAGGCAGCAGGATCCCCTCAATATTTTTTAAATGTTAGAGCTGTTATGTCCAGTTGAGAAAACAAGGTCCATAAGTGACAGAGCAGATACAAAATCAAGATCTCGGAACTAAATAATAAAAGTAACTGCAATAGGGCAATGGTTTCATTGCTTAGATTTTATGAAGAATCACGAACAAAGTCCAGTTTCTCTGCTCTTAACCTAAAGAGATGACTTGAGAAGCTGGGCAGTGGTGGTGCACGCCTTTAATCCCAGCACTCAATTCTGGGGGCAAAGGCAGGTGAATCTCTGAGTTTGAGGCCAGCCTGATCTACAGAGAGTTCCAGGACAGGCAGGAGAACACAGAGAATTCCTGTCTTGAAAAACCAAAAACAGAGAGAGAGAGAGGAGAGGGGGGAAGGAGGGAGGGAGAGAGGGAGGGAGAGGGAGGGAGAGGGAGAGAGAGGGAGAGGGAGAGAGAGAGACAGAGACAGAGACAGAGACTGAGACTATTATCAGGACAAAATTCTGACTCTTTAGGAAGAAACACATTCCTCACTAGTGATCCTTGCCTATCTAGGGTTTCTGTCTACTACTTAAACTTTCAAAGCCAAGACTCTGAACCTATGCTGATCCCTCTATCTGGAACACCCTTCCTTTGACATTTAAAAATAAGTCTGTGAAGCTGACCATGAAGATTAGAATCTTTTACAGGCCAAGTCCTCAACATGGTGCTGAAAATACAAAATGTGGGCAGAAACAGACCAATGCTATCCCCAGGACACTCATAAAGGAAGCCCTAAGAGTCCCGTAAGTAGTCACTGAATTTAGGATCAGTGACTACAAGCATGGCCATGAGAGCACCAAAGGAACCTGACCTTAACCTGGGGGTCACTGAGCACTTCCCAGCAACCTCAGGAAAGATCCAAGGAAGTTTAGTTTTAGCTATGAGAAGGGAGGGTAGGCTATGGAGGGCTTTCTAGGCAGAAAAGTAATGTATAAGGGCTTGTGTGGAGGAAAATGATGAGTGGGAGAAGCAGAGGAAGATTCATGCGACCACACAGGGGCCTGACAAAAGCAGTCACTAGGAATCTGCATAGCCAGGAGAAGGCTGGTTGATTCTGACCACATACCTGTCAGTCCCTCGGTTATCTACAGAGCCCCCACCTCCAGAGTAATGAATGCTGGCAAGAATGGGTGGAGCCCAAGATCACAGAGCTCCAGACAGCCTGAAGAGCTAGCATACACTGGCATATACTGGGTGGGTCCTGAGGGTTTCTACAAAACAGAGAATGACTTTCCAATGTCTCAAGGGCTACTTCCCTTGTGTGGAATGGAAGCAGTTCATGAGCTCAGACACATGGTGAAGCACAGCTGAACTTCAGGACAGGAACGGTGAACACAGCCAGGAAGGGTTCTGCCAACATGGTATGGGCCAACCCCGAATTTTTTCCCAAAACCAAATTAGGGTGTGGGGGGAGTGGGGGGTGTCCAGTAGGCTTTCCATCTCCACATGGCTAGAAGAATGACCAGGGGTGAGAAAGGAGCTGGAGTCATTCATTCCCAACATTTGCAGACTTATTTTGGGAGGAGCATGGCTAATACTCAACCATCCTGTGGCTGAGAGGTGGCTCTGACAGAAGGAGCTGGGAACCCTCACTGACCTCGAGTCAAATGTACGGATTCTTCCCTCAGAAGCAGGGTTTCCTGGCCCCAACTAGGCAGGAGCATTTGCTGATGCTGGTAGGGAGCTTCAGAAAATAAGTGATGAAGGGATGTTCAACTCCAGTGAGTGAGGAGCAGGCAAGGTGGCCCCTCTGCCCCTCAGGCCCATGCCCCAAGCTACACCTCAAGAAATCTCCAATATTACAAGGTGACTGGCTAGGCTCTGTTGTCCTCCAGCAACCATCATGGTCGGTACACATCCTCTTTGGTTCCTGTGAAGGAACTGAAGGAAGACTTGCAAAGGAAATCCCAATCCTTTTGAGTCTGGCTGTCCAAAAATCCCTGTTTTATGGGTGGCATCACCATCTCAGCCAACATGAAATCCAAAACGACTACTAAATTCTCCCTGTAGGGGCTTGAATTGCAGGAAGGATGACGGCAGCTTCAGGTCTCAAGCCTCAGTCGGGGTCTCATGATCCTAGGAACAACAGAGATAGAGCAAAGTCATGGTAGGCAGGAACTCTGTGGAAGGCAGAGTCTCTGTGGGCAACGCTGCCCAACACATACATCCCGCCCCAACCTCCAGCTTCTGGGAAAAAGATCTGCAGCAGTCCTATCTCAGGCAGCCCCGGAAGGTCTGGGAAGGGTTCACTGAGCTAAATCCCCAACCCCTGGAAGGGCTCATTTTAAACTCAGACTTCCAGTGCTAGCTCAGAGATGCTGATTCCTTGGGACACCCTAGGCAGAGATCAAGAAAAAAGAACAGACATCAGGGCTTGGTGGAACATGCTTATAATTTTAGTACTAGGAAGATAAAAGTCAGCCATGTATTTCCCTCTGTTGGGCTAAAACTCTACTGTTTAAATGGGGCTCTGTTTTGGATCCTTCCAGGCTGTTCTGCTATTGTCTGAACCATAGGTTTGGGGTTGAATGGAAGCTGATCTGGCCTTTGAATGACAGTTCCCTTTAGCCCGACATTCCTGGCCTCTGGAGTGAGTGGAAACTCTCTCGAGGGGGTATGATGTCATGGGCTAACCAAGAGTAGAGGACATCAAGACCCTTGAGTGCCTTCAGGCTAGTGGGAGAAGGTCTTTTGTCTCACAGGAGGGTTAGATCTCACTGTTTTAAGGGACTTCCCTGCCTAATAACTTTAGCTTAGTGGAAATTAACTTTTTTTTATTACCTTCAATAAAATGCTGTACTATCAAAAAAAAAAGCTACATGGTGACACCTTGTCTTAGGAAGGAGACGTAGAGAGGAAAAGAGGGAGGTAAGGGAGGAAGGAGAAAAAAGAAGGAAGAAAAGAGTCTGGTGGTGTAGCTCACTGGCAGCATGCTTGTCTACCAAGACAGAAAGCCTGGATTCAATCCCCAAGACCAGAGGAAAAGAGAATGACACTTTTTCAAATGGAAATAAATGTCGAGCAGTTTATAACGAGGAGGCTAGTATATGGATGTGGTGGTTCACCTCTCTATTTACCAAGAGCAGTTTATAACGAGGAGGCTAGTATATGGATGTCGTGGTTCACCTCTCTATTTACAAAGAGCAGTACAGAGAGACAGAAAGGTGCTAGCATGGACCACTTAACGGGCAGCAAACGGGTTATAGGGTGAGTAAGAACAGGTGACTTCCGGGACCACCAGAGAAACAAAACAATGGCTCAAGACTTGGAAAAAGGAAAGGCAGTCAGTTGGGTTTACCATGGATATACAACATTACATACAGGTGATATACAACCTTAGGATCCTAAAAAGGCACTCATCAGGTTGTACAGGAACACATCCAGGACAGCACCCTGTGTAGTCCACAAAGTGACTGCGGGGAACCCAGGGAGGCTGCAACAGGCCAGAAGAGCAAGTGATCTCAAGTGAGAAGCCCTAGCCTTTGCACACCTGGGCAAACAAAGGGAGCAGCAGCTTTGCCACTATACCCACCCAACACAGCCCTTCCTTTCCAGATGCCTTCCAACGCACCTTGCGAAGGACCTACCCTAATCCTGTGCCAACCATCACTGCTCAGTCCTCAGATACCAGCCAAGAACCTTGTTCCCACATGCCCACAAGAGATCGCTTTCACATATGCCTGTCTTTACTCCAAACTTCACCTTTGTTTTTGTTTTTCAAGACAGGGTTTCTCTGTGTAACAGTCCTGGCTGTCCTGGAACTCACTTTGTAGACCAGGCTGGCCGCGAAGTCACTGAGATCTGTCTGCCTCTGCCTCCCGAGTGCTGGGATTAAAGGCATGCACCACCACCGCCCGGCCCAAACTTTGCTCTTAACCACACTGCCTTTCTCTGCCACAAGATGTAAAATGCAAACAAAACAAAATGGCCATCTGGCTTCTTTCTCCTGTTCATAGCAATATTCTAAGCCTAAAGTGCTTAGAAGTGCTCCCTATATTCTATAGCATTTACTCGATAAACAATGCTCTGGGCATTTCTTTGTCTATTCCTCTTTGGCTTTATTTCTTGTTTTTCCTTTTCTTTTCTTCTTTTGATTTTTCTGCGTAGCCCTGGCTTTCCTGGATCTCGCTCTGTAGACCAGGCTGGCCTCGAACTCACAGAGATCCGCCTGGCTCTGCCTCCCGAGTGCTGGGATTAAAGGCGGGCTCACAACCAAAACTACGTGTCTTTTAGTTCACATAGATATTAGTGGTTGCTACCATCCTGACCGGTGCTCCTTTTTAAAAATATCTGAACTGAGCGAGAAGTCAAGTCACCTGCAGCCAAGGCCACATGGCAGGAGAGAAAGCTCCCGACTTCCACCTGCGCGCTGTGGCAAGCACAGGCGCACTCACACTCACATAATATTTTAAAACATAAAATTATAAAATCTGAGGCCAGATCTCTGACGTTAGGGGGACACTACATATTTAAGCAAGTGTTGAGAGGAAGATCATCAAGTTGCCAGGTCAACTGCGTTCCTCTGCTTCCTGTCCAGGAACACTTCAGGGTTACACAACACAAACTAGCTGGCTTTTCTGTGGAGTGGTCAGAACCACAGAAAGGGATTCCAAGAGGAATCCTCCGAAATCTGAACCTAGTACTTCCTCTCTAGCCGCGCCGGGCGACCTCGGCCTATAATCCCAGAATTTGGGAGACAGAAGCTGGAGGATCAAAATCACCCTTGGCTACAAAGCCAATTTAAGACTATCCTTCATTACAGAAAACCTTGTCTTAAAACCAAACAAGGCCAGATGTGGTGACACACGCCTTTAATTGCAGCTCTAACTGTACTTCCTTAAGTCATGGCTAAAGTCGCTGTCGCCAACCCAGGAACCGAACACCAAGCGGAAAGGGCGGAGCTCCGTCTCTGCCACGTAGAGGGGGTGGGGAGAGGAGCCGCAGCGGTGTGGCAATGAGCGGGTCGCCTCACTTTTTCTGCTTCTACAGCACGTTCTAATCTGCCGAGGAGCCTTTTTAAAAACCTGATACACCTGGCTTCAGAATGCATTCGTACAGCGCTGGCAAATTGTGTTCCGTGGCAGAACAAACGGCAATGCGGCGACTTACCTCACCCAGCTCCTCCCACTACCTAGTGCCGCCATCTTTGGGCAGCAGTGAATCATGGGAATCCCCGCCTTGCTCTCCGGCTATTTCCGGTTCCGGCGGAGGCCGCTCTTTCTTTTTCTCCGCAGGGCCGCAGTGGCTGCCGCTGTGGTGCTTGGCTCCCTGAGCTATCCGGTGCCATCCTTGTCGCTGCGGCGACACTCGCACCAGCTGCAATCATGACCGAGCAGATGACCCTCCGTGGGACCCTCAAAGGCCATAACGGCTGGGTAACACAGATCGCCACTACCCCGCAGTTCCCGGACATGATCCTGTCCGCGTCTCGAGGTACGGGCTGCATGCCGAGCAGAACACTGGGTGTCCCAGGGATTGCGTGCCTTCTTGCTTCGCAAGTGGCGTGCAGATTGGCTGGCTCGGTTCATTCCCCCACCTGGCTATGAGTCGGGGCGTGCAGGCCCGAACCTGGGCCACCCTTTGCACATGTCGTGAACAGAGACGTGTCGAGTAACTCTCCTAAGAATTAGCGATTTTAAATCTCTCGCTTGCCTCCTGGAGATGTATTTAAGTAGTTAAGGGGCTACAAGCCAGGCGGGGCAGTGATGACCCCAACATGCCATCTGAGTTACTTTGCTGAAATCCAGAGGCTGTTTCTGAGCCACCGCCGCCTGGCCCTAAGCTCTGTGGACAGTGGGTAAACTCTCGAGCTGCCTTGTTCCCCGGGTGTCTAGGCTTGCCCTTCCTGCCCTGGGTTTTCTTCCCTTGGAACTAATGGTGTTTTTCTCCCAGATTTCCCAACCCACCCAAATTTATGTTCGGTCTCTCCTAATGTAAGGTTTATCAGGCATTGTATTCGGAACTGTACGGTTTGAAATGGTCTGTGGCTTGGACTGTGTCTGCTTATCCCAAGTGACTGCTTCTGCTATTGAGTTAGCCTTGGGCTGGAGCGGTGGATAGATAAGACTGCTTATTCTTAAACGGGAGTAGGTAGGGTTTGTTTCCTAGAATGTACAAGGTGGTTTGCAGTTATTTGTAGCTAGTTCCAGGGAATCTGACATTCTCTTCTAAGTTAGAGCACTATATAGTAGGCATAATGTAGCGAAACATTCAATGCAAATTAAATTTTTTTTTGGTTGAATTTAAATTTCAGTCCCAGGAAATGTAGTACCCATAGTCTCGGGTATACCTTTTTATATTCTGGAGTAATAAACTCCTAATAACTTTTTCCCCGCTAAATGTAGTAATGCTCCCCTTACTAATAGAACAGTGACCTTAAGGCACTGAAAACTGCAATAAGTAGGTTGTGGTGGTCCTTATGAGATTTCTTTGCCAACCTTTTCAGACAAGACCATCATCATGTGGAAGCTGACCAGGGACGAGACCAACTATGGCATCCCACAGCGTGCTCTGCGAGGTCACTCACACTTTGTTAGTGATGTTGTTATCTCCTCTGATGGCCAGTTTGCCCTCTCAGGCTCCTGGGATGGAACACTGCGCCTCTGGGATCTCACAACGCAAGTAGCTGCTTTGGGACCTTGGGGGAAAGCTGGGCAAAATTGAGGTAGATTCTCTAGGGTGTGGTATCCCCTTGGAAACTGGTCCTTTTGTGGAGGGTGGGTTAAGATGTTGGGGTATCAGCCTCCTTTCTTGGAGTAGCTGAGGGCTGGTCTGGTCTAGTTGAACATTTTTTTAACCAGGTACAGCATTCTATTAAAACAACGCTTTGTCTTGAGAGTTGTCCTAGATTGGCATTTGTCAGGTATAATAGAGGATCCTAGTGATGACAAGAAGACATTGTCAACCAATCCCCACAAGGGAATGAGGACATGTCCTGCAATTCTGAATGGGTTCTCTGGCACATACCAGGCATAGGTTGCTAATGGGACCTAAGCTACATGTGAGCCGTGTGGAGTGATAAAGCCTACTGGGTCAAGGATACCAAAAAAAGGATCTGACTGTAAATGGATAAAAATTTGTCTAGAAAGTGACCAGGTTCTCCCTCTTAGGGGCACCACCACGAGACGATTTGTGGGCCATACTAAGGATGTGCTGAGCGTGGCCTTCTCCTCTGACAACCGGCAGATTGTCTCTGGATCCCGAGACAAGACCATAAAGTTATGGAATACTCTGGGTGTCTGCAAGTACACTGTCCAGGTAAAATGATGGAAGTAGTAGGAGCTACGAGTTAGAGATTATCTCCCATTCCCTGAGGATTTTGTTGGCTGTTTTTGAGATGGGTTCCTCACTATGTAGCCCTGGTTAGCCTAGAACTCAGATCTGACTCTTTAACTTTTTGCAATAATGTGCCATTTGTCCTGTCTGGGATTTTGGTTTTTGTTTCTTTTTTTTTTTTCTCTCTCTCTCTCTCTCATTTGCTCATGAGTGGCATGGGACTCAGGTGATTTTTCTCCTGGGTTGGGGCATGGAACCCTAAGCCAAGGCATCAATTGGGCAGGCCCTTCCTTGCACATGAGCAAAAACCCAGATGTGTCCCATAACTTGCCTAAGGGTTAGGTGATCTTAAACCTCCCATCTACTTCCTGGAGGTGTGTTTAAGTACTGCACTACATGCCAGGCGGAGCAGTGATGACTCCAACATGCCATCTGAGTTGCAATGCTGAAATCCAGAGGCTGTTTCTGAGCTGCGCCTGGTCCTGTACTCCATGAGGAGTGGGTAAACTCTGGAGGCATCCTAGGACTCAAACATTCACGTCAACAAGCTTGACAAGTCTTTACCAACTGTTCTGTTCATCTTGAAGTAAAGGTTCAGGTTCTGAGGAAGTGAGAGTGCTGTTGTCACCCCTTAGAGTAGTTACCTGCAGTCTGGGGAAGACTGCTTCCTCTTACCTTACCACTCTATCTTCTGTAGGATGAGAGTCATTCAGAATGGGTGTCTTGTGTCCGCTTCTCTCCGAACAGCAGCAACCCTATCATCGTCTCCTGTGGATGGGACAAGCTGGTCAAGGTGAGCTTCAACAAGGGCATGGCCCTGTTAGAAATCCAAAATGTGTTCCTGTTCTTCTCAGATGGTAGTGCACTCCAGTTTGGAATCTTTTGCCAATTACCTTGACTTTGACTTTTGATGGTTTGTCATGGTACATTAGGGATTTGATTTGTTTTTGAGGCTAGGTTTCACTCTGTCCCTATCTGTCCTGTCATCCAGGCAGGCCTCAAATTAGCAATCTTCCTGGCTCAGCCACCCCAGTATTGGTACTACATAGGCTTGCACCAGAAGCCTGTTCAAATACACCTTTAAAGAAGACGTTGTCCCTTTCTTGTTGTAGAATGTAGACCACAATCCTGGTCACCCATGTACCTCTGCTTTTCTAGGTATGGAATTTGGCTAACTGCAAGCTGAAGACCAACCACATTGGCCACACTGGCTATCTGAACACAGTGACAGTCTCTCCAGATGGATCCCTCTGTGCTTCTGGAGGCAAGGTGATTTGGGGGTTCGTCATTTTCTTTAAGGAGAATGCTTTTATCTGATAGCATGCACCAGTTACAAAATTAGCTAAACTTCAGGAATGTTTGTGAGCATTATCCTAAAATATGTAGAAAGATATACCAAAGAAGTTTTCCTTTAAAAGTAAGTTGTTTTTCACGTGCGTTTAAAAGTAAGTTGGTGTAAGTATTGTACATTAGAGGAAAAGGCTTAGGAGCATGAACATGGACACTTCAGTCATTAACTTTATCTGTCCTAACTTACATTTTCTATCTGTCCAGGATGGCCAGGCTATGCTCTGGGATCTCAATGAAGGCAAGCACCTTTACACACTAGATGGTGGGGACATCATCAATGCCTTGTGTTTCAGCCCCAACCGCTACTGGCTCTGTGCTGCCACCGGCCCCAGTATCAAGATTTGGGTAAGTGTGGTCTGTTGTACAGCATATTGATTTCACTGTCAGAAATCTTTTCCTGGACAGTTTGAAGCACTGGGTGACATCTGCCTAATGACAGAGACTGCCTATGTATAGCAGTTTGTTGAATGTAATAATTGCCATTTGGGCCAAAGTAATTTTCTTATGAGAGGCTATTCTGTCTTCATCTACCCACTAGATAAGTTAACAGCCACACACCATGAACACAACCAAAAACAGTCCCGCCAGTAGTATCTCTAGTACATGAGAGACCTAAATTCAATCCCCAGAACCATTTTAGAAGAGACCTTCCCTGTGCTTCTAGTATCAGCTTAGATTCAATTTAGTGATCTTTATTAAGGGATTATTAGACGACTAAAAGACTGGGGCTTACTATGTAAGCTAGACTGGCCTTGGAGCTCACGGATAGCCTGCTTCTACCTCCTTAGGCATGCACGCCCCACCACAAAGTTGCTGTTTTGGGCCCCGTTTCTGTACTTTGAACATTTGTGGCCTTTCCTGGGTGAATGTGGTGCCCTTTTAGTTGGTGGCATTTGTTTTTTATATTTTGGACAGTGTATATGTAGCCTAAGCTGACCTCAAATTCTGTAGCCATTTTTTGTGTAGGGTAATAATTGGGGTTGAACCTGGGGTCTTGCACATGCTAGGTAAGTGCTGTACCAAAGGATAAGCCCAACTTTTTTGTTTTGGTTTTTTGGACTTATTTTTATGAGGTGTCATAATCTGTTGGAAATCTGAATTGTAAGTGGTCTTTTTAAAAATAGTTCATTACTATCTGTATATATACACCACAATATGCATATTGTGCTACACGTGGGTCCAGGATAACTGGCCCATGGCCAGGCACTTCTGTCTCCTTCGTAGTTTAAGTTGTCAGGCAAGGCACTTTAATTTGTGCCATTAAGTCCATGGTTACAGGTGTCCTTACCTGATCGGTCTGTTCTCAGGACTTGGAAGGCAAGATCATAGTAGATGAACTGAAGCAAGAAGTTATCAGCACCAGCAGCAAGGCAGAGCCACCCCAGTGTACCTCCCTGGCATGGTCTGCTGATGGCCAGGTAAGTACTTCAGTCTGCCAGCTGAGCTTCCAGCTTGTCTCC